AGAGGAGGGCGGTGGAGGAGGTCGCTAAGGGATATTTTCACGTCACTAGTAATTGATGATCCTGGACCCCACACCACCACACGCCTTCGCCACGCCACCACACGCCCTCACCACGCTAGCACACGCCCTCGCCACGCCACCACACGCCCTTGACGCACTACAACACGCTCTCGCCACGCCATTATACGCCCACGGCACGGCACACCCTCGCCACGCTACTATATCCATTAACTAGGTGTTACATACAAGTGCCATACAGAGATCAGGTGTCACATACAAGTGTCATGCAGAGATCAAGTGTCATACGGAGATCAGGTGTCATACAGAGATCAGGTGTCATACAGAGATCAGGTGTCATACAGAGATCAGGTGTCATGCAGAGATCAAGTGTCATACAGAGATCAGGTGTTACTTACAAGTGCCATACAGAGATCAGGTGTCACATACAAGTGTCATGCAGAGATCAAGTGTCATACGGAGATCAGGTGTCATACGGAGATCAGGTGTCATACAGAGATCAGGTGTCATACAGAATCCCGGGTGTCGCATACAGGATCAGGTGTCCTGCAGAGATCCAGAGTGTCATACAGAAGATCAGAGTGTCATACAGAGATCAGGTGTCATACAAAGATCAAATTAATAAACATACTAGAAGATGTCATACTGAGAGATCAAGGTGTCCTTAGGGTGGAGTGTCATACAGAGATCAGGTGTATGTCATGCAAGTAAGTGTCATACAGAGATCAGGTGTTGCATGCAAGTGTCACACAGAGATCCAGGTGTCTTGTAAGTGTCATACAAAGTCAAGTGTCTTATAAGTCAAATTGTGTACAGAATCAGGTGTCACATACAAGTGCCATGCAGACATCAAGTGTGAAGTCAGGTGTCATGCAGAGATCAGGTGTCTATACAAATGTCATACAGAGATCCAAGTGTCATAAGAGATCAGGTGTCATCCCAGAGATCAGGGTGTCATACAAGTCAGGTGTGTATACAAAGTGTCATACAGAGGATCAGGTGTCAACATAGAGATCAGGTGTCATACAGAATCCAGGTGTCATACAGAATCAGGTGTCACATACAAGTGCCATACAGAGATCCGTGTCTGATGTCATGCAGAGATCAAGGTGTCACAGAGTGTCATGCAGAAGTCAGGTGTCACATACTAATTAATGCAGAGATCAGGTGTCACGCCACAAATTGTCATGCAGACATCAAGTGTCATACAGAGATCAGGTGTCATACAGAGATCAGGTGTCACATACAAGTGTCATGCAGAGATCAGGTGTCTTATAGAGATCAGGTGTCATACAGAGATCAGGTGTCATACAGAGATCAGGTGTCATATACAAGTGCCATGCAGAGATCAGGTGTCACAAGTGTCATGCAGAGATCAGGTGTCACAAGTGTCATGCAGAGATCAGGTGTCACAAGTGTCATGCAGAGATCAGGTGCCACAAGTGTCACAAGTCATTATAGTATGTTAAAAATGTTAAAAGTCTAACCTTAAACTCCAATATTTTAACCCAACGCAAAACTGAGCAAACTTTATTTAGTTTGTTAATATTGACAGTGGCACCCCCCACCTTCCCTCCTTCCCCGGCCTAGCTTCCCCCAGCCTGCCTAGTTCCCTCCCTCCCTCCCTCCCTCCCCCCGGCCCCACAGCTTCCCCAGCCTGCCAAGTTCCCTCCCCTCCCTCACCCTCCCCAGCCTAGCTTCCCCCAAGCCTGCCTAGTTCCTCCCTCCCTCCTCCCCAGCCTTTCTTCTCTCTCTCCCTCCTTTCCTAGTTCCCTCCCTCCCTCCCTCCCCAGCTAAGCCCCAGCCTGCCTAGTTCCTCCCTCCCCCTCCCTCCCCAGCCTACTTCTCTCTCTCCCTCCTTTCCTAGTTTCCCTCCTCCTCCCCTCCCCAGCCTGGCTTCCCCGGCACTAGCTGGGACTGCACTCCCTCCCGCCCTCCCCAGCCTACTTCTCTCTCCTCCTTTCCTAGTTCCCTCCCTCCTTTCCTACCAGTTCCGCCCTCCTCCCCCCCTTTCCTTCACGCTCTTACCTCCTCCTCCTCCACTTCTTTAATTTCGAACTATCAACTCCTTCCTCACACACTTTGCAGCCCCCCCCACCACCCCAAGCCCCATCTCCTCCCCTCCTTTAGCCATCCCTTCTCTCCCCCCCATCTCCTTTGGCTTCATCCCCCCCCTTCTCTCCCCCCATCTCCTTTGGCTTCATCCTCCCCTTCTCTCCCTCCCCCTATCAATCCATCCCACTCCCCCTTCCTCTGGTCCCACCAATGTCGCCCATGGTTCCTCCTCTCCTCCATACCCTTCCTCCCTCCCCTCCCTCCATACCCTTCACTCCCTCCCTCCACACTCCCCTCTCTCGTCCCCTACTCCCTTATAAGGAAGCTCCCACCGGTACATAAGCCGCAACTCACCAGTATGTAAGCCGTAATTAATAGCCAGGGCCTGACGAGGGAGTTTGGGGTGATTTATCGACTCCAAAAACGGACCACCACTCATGACGTCACAGGGGGGGTCACGTGACGGCTGACCACTACAGCTCTGTGTGTGTGTGTGTGTGTGTGTGTGTGTGTGTGTGTGTGTGTGTGTTCATCTGGGTCCGAATGGTGACAGATCCATAACCTAACTCAGCTATTCCTAACCTAACCTAACCTGATCTAACCCAACTCAACCTGACCTGATCTAGCGTCACTCAACCTAACTTGAGCTAACCTAATCTAACCTAACTTAACCTAATCTACCTATCATGATGTCCCTGCTTTAATTGGTGGGCTTAGGTTAGGATGGTTCAGGTTAGGTTAAGTAAGAAGTTGGGTTAGGTTAGGTCAGGTTAAGTAAGGAGAAGCTGGGTTAAGTTAAGTTTGGCTGAGTTAGGTCAGGTTAAGTTAAGTAAGAAGATGGGTAGGTTAGGTTAAGTTGAGAGAAGCTTGATAAGAATATGTTAGGATGGGTTAAGTCAGGTTAGGTCAAGCTGGGTTAGGTCAAGTTAGGTTAAGTTAGGTTAGGTTTAGTGGGAGATGACGGGTTAGGTTAGGTTAAGTTAGGTTAGGTTTATTTGGGAGATGACGGGTTAGGTGATATATGTAGTAGTAATACTAATAATAAATCAATTTTGTTTACTATATACAGTACACAGGGGACAACGTCTAGTACACCTTGGCCTGACCTTCAGTGTTTTGGTGAGATGTGTGTGACGTCATCAGCGCATCACCCATAAAACTAGAGCGAAATAACAACATTTTTATCTCCGTATCCCCTCTTTGTTTACACGCTCTCTGCATCATTTATACCTGACACAATATTCTTAACTTTAATTATTTTTTTCTTTTTATCAAATTATTTTCAGTTTATTTCGTCACTTATCTTAGTTTAAAATTCACTTTACGTAATACTTAAATAAATAACATCAGTAATTGTTATTCAAGGGAAATAAGCAAACATAGAAAACGTAATTCAGAATGTAAACATAACTTATAGAAAACGAGATAATGAAAACCGGATCCTATTGTTGTGGTTTTTATATACGAGTTATTTAAATGTTGCAATAGATAAGTTTATTTTTTTTCGTACAAAATAATTCATGTGAATAAAACCTAAGACAGACTGGGATTACCATGGATTGTGTCATTTCATACATACATACATACATACATACACACATACATACATACATACACACATACACAGTACCCCAGATCAACCATTACCCAGGACAACCAGTACATGGCGGAGTCCTATGGCAGATTCTAACAACAAACCGCCAAAGATCATAACCACGATAATCACCTGTAATAAAAAACCTTCATCAGGTAACACAAAGGAATTACTGACACCTCCTCCCCTCTTCCTTTATTATAAAATCTGGGATCCACCTCGCCCTTGAAATCCTAGCAGGTGTTAAGCAGGTGTGTGGGAAGCAGACGGCAGGTGTGTGGGAAGCAGGAGAGGTAGGTGTGTGTGTGTGTGTGGGGAGGATGGGGGTGCAGGCGACAGGTCTAGCGGCTGTTTCTTCCTATATTGTATCTGACTTCATTCTACGATCCAATAGTATAATTCCTTACAACACACACACACACACACACACACACACACACAGACCATTTCGTGGTCAGCTCGTGACGGGGACAATAATGCTACAGGTATGCTACTTAACTTAAACTAGAATATTTTAAAAGAAACGCAACCCAACCCACACTACCGCCCATCTGGACACTCTACCGCCCACCCGGGCACACTACCGCCCGCATGGACACATTACCGCCCATCTGGACACACTACCGCCCACCCGGACACACTACCGCCCGCCCGCCCGGACACACGAACATAGGTTTAATGGTCAGGTCTGGCGTATCATCCACGAGACACAGCATCATGGTGGAATAATACTCCTTTAAAAATATAAAGAGTTTACACACAAAGACGTTAAGAGTACAAACGCCTGATACTCCAGCACATCACGAGAGCTGAACAAACACAACATATGTTAGCCTTGTGTGTGTGTGTGTGGTCTCTGGATCAATACACACACAAATACTAATGTAAAGTAACAACAGTTATCAGTAAAGGCAGCAGGTAGAGGAAGTGCTTGACAGTACACAGCTCTGGTTACTACTCTCCCACATTAGGCTTACCGACACACCTATACACTCAATTCAAAACCTATTCAACTCGAGTCTCGCTGGGGTGGAGTAGGTCCTGGGCTCTCCTGAACCAGCTCCCGGCGTCCTACCGTACTGTACATCCTTGCTACAGGTAGTCCACACGTCACGTCTTATCCAAAGTTAATAAAAAATCTAATTCACTGTTTTGAGAGTGACAATATGTGTTCGCGCCCACATCAGTAAGACATGGCAGTTTTTCTACCACTGTTGATTCCTGTCTAGAGGTTCACAGTTACTTTTCAGTCACTTATTATCACAGGAGGCAGTATAGGTGTTTATCAGCCACTGCAGGAGGCGTATATTAACAGATCGTCGAGTCCACTCACATATCCAGGGGACGGAGCGCGCGGAAGCACTACCTCACACGACCGACGTCTGTGAAACACTGTTGGTTATTCCAACCAAACTTCCAAGCCAACGTGGAGCGTCGTGTCTGCCAGATGCGCGCGAGGCCATGCGGTTTGTTGAGCCGCCAACTGGCTCCTCAGCTCTCCGTGGATGTAAGCACGTAACATTTAAGAAGATAGTAAGATTTGTATGCAAGACCAGTAATGTTTATGTTAACTGGATAATAGCATAAGAATGGAGGAAACTGCAGCGGGCTTATTGGCCCATACTGGGCAGTCCCGTTTACACCCAACCCCTATTGCTCATATTAGCATCCAACCTATGTTTGAAGCTATCCAGCGTATTCGAGTTAATGATGATATTTGGTAACTTGTTCCACTCATCCACTACTCTGTTTCCAAACCAATGTTTACCAATTTCGCGCCTAAATCTAAATTTGTCTAATTTAAAACCATTGTTACGAGTTCGCTCCTGGTTGGATAGTTTGAGTACCTTCGTAATGTCCCCTTTGTTTAGCCCTGACTTCCATTTATACACCTCTATCAGGTCGCCCCTCGCTCTACGTCTCTCGAGGGAGTGCAAATTAAGATGCTTTAACCTGTCTCTATACTCAAGGTTCCTAATGCCCGGGATTAGTCTAGTCATTCTCCTCTGGATTCTTTCCAAGGATTCTATATCCATTCTGTAATACGGTGACCAGAACTGCACTGCGTAATCCAGGTGAGGTCTCACAAGCGCAAGATATAATCTTAAGATGACCTCGCTAGTCTTGCAACTGACACTCCTTTGTATGAACCCAAATACTTTATTAGCCTTGTTACGAGCAAAAACACATTGATTACTTGGCTTAAGATTCCTACTTATCATTACTCCTAAATCTCTCTCGCAGTCGGATTTCTCAATGGCATCGTTGTTCATCTGGTATCTGGTTTCCCTGTTTACATCTCCTATACTGAGTACTTTACATTGTCCACATTGAATTTCATCTGCCATTTTTCAGACCATTCCAAAATTTTTTTTAGATCTTCCTGTAGTTTTGCAGAGTTCTCGTCAGATTTAATTACACGTCCTATTTTAGTGTCATCAGCAAATTTACTTATGTTGCTGTCTATGCCGATATCTATGTCGTTTATGTATATAATAAATAATACTGATCCAAGTACTGAGCCTTGGGGAACTCCACTAGTGACACATATCTATGCGGATTCAACATATTGAATTTGATATTAATTGAACGAATATCTATTATGTAATGAAAATAAATTAACCCATAAAAACTGACCAATTTTAAGTTGTGGTAGATAGTACAGTGACAATCTCTTATATACTGTATACATGAAGGTCTGAGACTTGTGTGTCATCAGTATCTCAGGTGATAATGACCCACAGAGACATAACTGTCACCTGGTAAGAGAAATTAGTGAGCCAGGAGGTGGTCAACTACCAAGGGAGGACTGGCGTGAGGGAGCATCATCTGTGGTGCTTCTCATGGCGGGTGTTCTTACCGGTCACTGCAGTGTTCCTCAGGTGCCCAGACCCACCATGTTGGACCCGCCTCACCACACGTGTTAGCAGCAGCAGTGTGACGGCTGATCAATATGGTCTACAACCCCTCTACTGTGGTGCCTCTGGGGAGTGACAAGGATGGCGTGACAAAACTACATCATCATCACCACCAGCCTTGCCATTAAACACTGTCCCGCACGCAGAGAATCTCACCTCCTCGACACATTAACTCAGGGAGGGATCATCATGTTACCTCGGGAGGCTGGCAGCTGGTGCGTCTGATGATTTTTAAACTGAACTCTACGACTCCTGTTGTCTCGGTAGGGTTATCAAAATCCTTCGTCCGTTGTGTCATATTGTCTAACACAAAATCGTAAAGATACTTTTTGTGGCTAGTGTTTCACCGAGTCCTAAAAATATTAACCTAACCTAACCAAATTTAAGCTGACTTTCTAATCTAATCTAACTTAACCTAATCTTACCTAACAAAATTTAACCTAATTATACCTGACTTAATCTATTCTAACCTAATTTAACTTAAACCCATCTAACCTTATGTAGCCTAACTGAACAAAAACCTAACCTAACCTAACCTAACCTAACCTAACCTAACCTAAGCCCCAGGCAGCATTAAGGTGGGTAATCCTCAAGTGATATAAGGTGTAAGAGGGGAGCGAGTCTTCAGGTGATCCCAAACTAGAATGGGTTCAATTACCTGTTCCACGTGTCAGAGGAGAGCCCCCGTGTACACCTGCCTCGCGCCCTGCTGGTGGGGAGGGGAGGCAGTGTTTGACAGGTAACTTAATAGTCCTGTGGCTCTTGTTCTCTAGTAGATATTTCTTTCATATATAAGAGTTAATAATGAGAGAGCAAATAAAAGATAAAAAAAAATCAATAAACTATGTTGTTTTTTCTGATTAGTGAGGTTTTGTTGTGTGTGTGTTGGTGGTTAACAGCGTCATGTAATACCTGTCACACACACACACACACACACACACACACACTAACAGAACTAAGGTATTCCTGAACAACAACCATCTGAATATGAACAAAACAAACGTCCCCCCAGACCTCAACATCCCACCACTATAACCTTCCCTCGTCGTCTCCAACATTTCCTCAAAATAAAATCACAAAAGCCAAAAAATAAATCAATAAATCTCTTTTCGATAACGTAATTCACTTCTTTTGTCACCTCCAGCTGGGAGTTATAGACACAATAACAAACAAAAGGGGCCAAGGTGACGACAAGAGAGGCGAGACTTATACCCTGGAAGAGGATCAAATAGCCTCGACGCAGCATCCAGGTCGCGAGATACCACAACGTCAGGGGGTTTCAATTCCATATGGTGGATTCTTTCACTCGTCTATACATCTGTTGTGCCAATGTTTACAAAAATAAGTTTCAATATATCAGACGATCGAGGCGCTGAAAGAGAGATAACAAAAAGTATTGAGTAGTCTTGGAGAGAATTCCAATACGAGTTAATTTAATGAGAAACACAGGTAAAGACAGTGCCGCCCCGGGCTCATTAAATGAATAACGGTGAATACATGTGCTGGTGTAGTGGGGGGGAGGGGGGAGGGGGGATGCGCGGGCTCTCAAGTGCTGGATTAAATATACACTGTAATACTTGAAGAGACCGTATGAGTGTGTGTGTAAGTGTGTGATGTGTGAGTATACAAACACACACACACACACACACACACACATACACACACACATACACACACACACACACACACACACACAAGGCCAAAAACGTCAATAGAAAATGTAACACACATTACCAGGCAGTCAGTGTGTGGCGGGTGTTGGCAGCTGCTGGGGTGAACCGTAAAGGCAGAGCCAGAGTACGTTAACCCCCTGCATATTGTACTCAAGGTGTTAACTCATTGTACTCAAGATGTTAATTCATTGTACTCAAGGTGTTAACTCATCGGACTCAAAGTGTTAAGACAACGTACTAAGGGTGTTCGATATTTTGTACTCAAGGAATAAGACCTCCCTTGAATACGATGATTTAACACCTTGAGTACGATGAGTTAACACCTTGAGTACGATGAGTTAACACCTTGAGTACAATGAGTTAACACCTTGAGTTTTCTTGCATCTTAACCTCTGAGGAATTATTAATCTCTCTCTCTCTCTCTCTCAAACACACACACACACACACACACACACACACACACACACACACACACACACACACACACACACACACACACACACACACACACACACACACACACACACACACACACACACACACACACACACATTATTAAAGAGAGAAAGTGACAAAGAATTTACAATACCTTAAACTTCCTATGCCTCTCTCTCTCTCCCATACACACATTCTGAGAGAGGACGCACTCTGCAGAATCTTCGAATAACAAATAGACACGTATTTTTTACTTTCACACGTGTTAAGTGAACTACTCTTAGTGAACATTTAAACACTGCTGGAGGTGGGGTGGGAGGCTCTGAGGGGTTATTGAGGGCTGGTTGAGGGCTGGGAGGAGGATTTTCAGCGGTTGTGTGGATGAATAAGGATTTCTTTTAAGGGCTGGGAGTCGATGGTTGTATGGGTGGGTGGGGAGGGAAGGGCTCTCTAAGGGCAAGAGGGCCAGGGTTAAGGGTCGGTTTAGGGCTCTACTACGCCTCGTGAATCTATAGCCAAGTGATCTTTTTTCTCTTTTTTAATAAATAGTGCGGGAGAGATTAGACCAGCGAGGTTATCAAAGCGATTCACTGAGGCGTCGTCCCCTTGCTGGAGCATAACATGTGAAGCAAAGTGTTTGTGAACTGCTGGTGGTAATATGATACAGGACAAACACTATGTGGCAGGGACCTCTACACAGTACTAGTTCAGAGTATAAACGAGACCTGACAGACGAGATGTTTTTGTGTGTTGATATACTGACAGTACAGTTAAGGCCCTCACTGATGCCCTCGTAAGCCCAGAGAGGATGGACCTGTGAACGTGCAATACTGAGGCAGACCTGTGAACGTGCAACACTGGGATAGACCTGTGAACGTGCAACACCGGGATGGACCTGCGAACGTGCGACACTGGGACGGACCTGTGAACGTGCAACACCGGGACGGACCTGTGAACGTGCAACACTGGGATGGACCTGTGAACGTGCAACACCGGGACGGACCTGTGAACGTGCGACATTGGGATGGACCTGTGAACATGCAACACCGGGACGGACCTGTGAACGTGCAACACTGGGATGGACCTGTGAACGTGCAACACTGGGATGGACCTGTGAACGTGCGACATTGGGACGGACCTGTGAACGTGCAACACTGGGATCTTTCTGGCAAGGTCCTCATTCTTGTTATATGTGCTGATGGCTTATTTCTGGCCCCGGGTTGAGGAGGTAAAGTGACCCAACACAACACCCGGCCGGAGATGACAGCAGGTTGACGATGGGCAGAAGGCTAAGGGCTGACCGTGATCTGGAAGAGGCTAAGGGCAGAGCTAAGGGCTTCAGAAAGGCAAG